ATAACACTTGTTGAAGCAACACCACCATGTTGATCCAGTCTAAGTTCTCTCACTTCATGTGGGCTGAAGCCATCAATACAGCGTGCTTCACACAAAACAAAACGTCCAGCCATAAACGCTTCGACAAGACCCCCTATGAAATTCTCTTCAACAGAACCCCAGATATCTCCTTCTTTAAAGTGTTTGGCTGCAAGTGCTTTGTCCTGAATGATAGAGACGAAAGGAGCAAACTCGGTCCAAAAGCCCGGGAAAGGGTGTTTATTGGGTACTCTACGCAGTCAAAGGCATACAGAATCTATTTAAGATATCGACGAACTATCATAGAGAATGTGAATGTAACATTCTATGAAATGGCAGACTTCGCTTCTGAGCACTTCTTGGCAGACCCTTCCTCTTCTGAACCGCAACAATCCTCTGATGTATTCAAAAAATGTAATTAAAAATGAATATTCAAAAAATATATATATTCTAGCAACAAAATCAAAAACAAAAATAAAGATTATATGCATTCACAATTAATAATCAAATTCACAATTTCACATCAAGCAAAGTTTAAAATTCACAATTTACAAGTTCACAATTAATAATCAAATTCACAATTTTACACAAAGTTCACAATTAATAAAAGTTTTTTAAAAAAATACCTGTAGTGCAAGAGCTGCAGAACTGCAGAAGTGTAGTCGGCGGCAGGGGCGGTCGGGCGGAGTCGGCGCAGCCGCGCAGCCGCGCAGAGCTCAGCTACTTCTCGGCTTCTCGCCGTTCTCCACTTCTCGCCTCTCGGTCTTCTCGGCGGAGTCGGCGCAGTCGCGCAGAGCTGCAGCAGTGCAGGCCGCAGCAGCCAGCAGGCGGACAGGCGGTGCAGCCAGCAGGCGGACAGGCTTCTCGAGTTCTGGCCGTTCTCGCCTCTCGCTCTTGCCTCTTGGGATTTTGCATTTTGTCGTCGTTTGGAGTCGCAGAGGGCCAGAGGCGCGGATCTCTGCTTTTTTGTTTCGCCGACAAACAAAGAAAAGAAACGGACTTTTGTTTTTTGGACTTCAAAATTCAGGTTGGGCCTGATTTTTTTAAAATTCAGACTGGGCCTAATTTTTAAACACCTATACTAATAAAAAAAAAATCAACATGGGCCTAGGCCCTGCCTGGCCTAAGGCCCAATCCGCCCCTATGTGTGGGCATACTAGGAAGGACCGCATGAGGAATGAGACAATCAGACAAAGGGTGGGAGTAGCACCTATTGAAGACAAGATGCGGGAGTCGCGCCTACGGTGGTTTGGTCATGTGCGTAGAAGACCGAGTGATGCACCTGTTAGGCGAGTTGAGATGTGTGGAGAAGAGGCGGGGAAGAGAGGGAGAGGAAGACCCAAACAGACGTGGGTTAGGGGAGTTCGAAGTGATATGCTTCTTCTAGGGTTGGATGAGGGCATGACTTTGGAGAGAACTAAGTGGAGAGCGGGTATTCACGTGAAGGAGTGATCTTGATAATCTTTTTCCCTCATCTTTTTTTCCTAGTTTTTTTTATCCTTATATATATATATGCATTTTTGCAGCCTTTTTATTGTATCTTTTTTATATATATTCATCTTTTTTATATTATCTTTTCATAATAGCTTATCTTTTTATCTTTTTTCCTTCTTTTCCTTTTGGTTGTGATATCATGTATCGATTCATGTTAGCCGACCCCAATATCTTTTGGGACTAAGGCTTGGATGTTGTTGTATGGTCTAATTATCCCATTTACTATTTAAATTTCATAACTCTCGTTAATCCAATTTATTTGACTATATCAATAGTAGTCATTCAATTTATTTGTTAGACCATATAATATTTTACACTGATCGTTAGGAGTATATATATTCAATAATCAGTTTAGATTAATCAATTTAGCTACTATGACCTGGGCTAACTAACATGATTAATACGGCGCATATCGTAACAGAGAGATACTTACGTATCCTTCGCCGTAGCAGGCAAAGGTGACAGCCGATGGCGTAGCTTCTTCCCGAACAGTAATGGGTTCACCTCCTCCGGTGACAGACCTTCCCTTCCGGTGTCGGCAGTAGGTGTTACCTCCAGTGACTCGTTCATCTCCGTCGTGGAAACGATCTGGCAGTCCGGCAGTGCTACACCGGCGTGTCCTCTTCACCGGTGAAACAAACCCTTATACCCGTTCGTTGCATTCAAACCCAAACGGCTCTATAGCTGTTGGGAGGCTGCCAGGGGGTCCCGGGGTGGGGTGGGGTGGGGGTGGGGTACAAAAAATCTATAAATACTCCTTTTTTTCTATACAATTCACTACACATCTTCTCCAAATATTCCTACTCTCTAATCTCTATTCTCTAATCTCTACTAATTTTCTCCATCTTCATCTTCTCAAATTTATACTCTCTCCGTTCCGGAATTATCTTTATTCTTTCCTTTTCGGTCCGTCCCAAATGTATCTCTTTATACCCTTTTTGGTAAAGAATATGTGATTCACAACCATTCTTACACATTTCTCTCTCCTCTGCATAACTCTCCACCACACAAATCCCACTATCTTAAAACCTGTGCCCGGTCAAAACCGGAGTTAAATATGGGACGGAGGGAGTATCTACATATATTATATTTATAAAACTTATTATCTACTTATTATCTACTTATATAGTTATATCAATATCTAATTATTATATTATTGTTGTTTTTTAATATTTACATATTACATATACTCAATATATACTTATATATATTAAAGTATTATATATAAGTGTATTACTCATCTTATAGTAATATACTTATATTATATATACTATAAACATAATATTATATATTACTAGTTAATCTACTTATTATCTACTTATAAATATATATATTAAGTATATCTACTTATACACTTATTATCTACTTATCCAATTGCTTATACACTCTCACACTCCCATTAATTTAGTTTACACACTCATACATTCTTTATTAATATAAAACTAGTTAATTGTTTCACTTATCATTTTAGTATTAGTTCATTGCTATAAAAGTAGTTAATTGTTAGTTGTTAGTTTATTGGAAATAGTTACATTAAAAACTAGTTAATTGTTTCACTTATATCATTTTAGTATTAGTTCATTGCTATAAAAGTAGTTAATTGTTAGTTGTTAGTTTATTGGAAATAGTTACATTAAAAATTGTTAGACAATAATTGTTTGTTTAATTGTTAAACTAGTTAATTCGAAATTAATTGTTTAATTGTTAAACTAGTTAATTGTTACATTTCTTAATCTCCTATAATACTAGTTAATTGTTACATTTATTATTCTCTTATAAACTAGTTAATTATTACAATTCTTATTCTCCTATAAAACTAGTGTATTGTTACATTTATTATTCTCCTATAAAACTAGTTAATTGTTACATTTATTAATCTTCTATAATAGTAATTAATTGTAACATTTTTTATTCTCCTATAAAACTAGTTAATTGTTACATTTCTTATTCTCCTATAAAACTAGTTAATTGTTACATTTATTATTCTCCTATAAAAGTAGTTAAATGTTACATTTATTATTCTCCTATAATACTAGTTAATTTTTACATTTATTATTCTCCTATAAAACTAGTTAATTGTTACATTTCTTATTCTCCTATAAAAACTAGTTAATTGTTACATTTATTATTCTAAAACTTGTAGTTCGAATTGTTAAACTTGTTAAAACTTGTAGTTCGAATTGTTAAACTTGTTAAATAAAGTTGTTACATTTTAAAACAAATAGTTCGAATTTTTACATTGCATTATTATTTAATTGTAGTTAAGTTTATTACATTATTACTTCGAATTTAATATTTGTTATATTTTTAAGATGGAACGTGCTAGAGTTTCTGTAGATATGGGTAACCTCTGTTGCAACCGAACAAAGGAGATTGCGAGGAATCATCCAAGGTCACGCAAAGGTAAGGGAGGGGTTGGGTCTTTGACGTTCTTCAGTGGTGGAAGGAAAAAGAGAGAACGTTCCCGATCTTATCAAAGATGGCTAAGCAAGTGCTAGCAATGTCGGTATCAACAGTTGCTGTGGAACAAGAGTTTATTGCGGCCGGCAACGTCCTAACGGATTATTGAACGAGATTGAGCGCAAACTCTCTTGAGATGCTTGTTTGCTTCCACGATTGGTTGAAGGTCAAACGTAGAACTCAAGAAATTAGCACCGAACCCACCCGCCACTTTATGGAAGAAACAATCGAAGATGACAGATATTCCGATTGATTCTTATTTATTAAAAAGTGTATTTCATGTTTTAATTTTTGCTCAATTTCAATTGTACTACATATTTCAAATAAATATATTTTAACTTTTTTATGTCCAAGTAATCTTGATTTAATATTTAAACAAAAAAAAATTAAATAGCCCGGGTCCGGCCCGAACTGGCCGACTACCCGGCCTAGTAGGCCTGACCCGGACCGGACCCGGTATCACCCCGGGCCGGTTACGGGCCCATGTTTCTCAGAAAAAGCCTGTCCGGGCTCAGCCCGAAACCGGAACCGGACCGGCTCGGGTCCATCCCTAGTAGTAGTGTAACCTCATGAGTTTTATCCTTGTTTTCGTTGGACATTTCAACTCAGAATGGCCCAAACGAAAACAGGATGAGCAGTATTCGGGGCGACTCTCATAGATAACAGCTTGAGAAAACCCATGAACACCACACTCAATTCAGACTTCTTGAGGCATTTCCTTAGTCACGTCCAATTCCACACAAACTCAAGCAACGGAGGGACGTGCTAAGGAAGAAGTAGCAACATGCAGTTTTTGGGGTTTACCAACTAGACTTGCAATATCAAATAACGCACGCTTATCTCGATAATGAATAGGTAAACTCTCAAAAGATAACCAAACAGGAATCATCGGAGATTCAATGTTAGGCCTAAAGTCTATAGTCCATTTAGTGACCCTCATAATAATAGACCAAGTTTATCTACTTCAATAACAAAGATAATCCTCTTCCGATTCAAATCTGATCAAAATATGTTTTTGATACAGAACACCAAGATGAAATGTACCTTTAAACCCCATAAATTCAAACTCTTGATGCATAGTTGACAAACTCGGTCTGTTTTTTAAAAAATAACCCACCAGGGCCAGTTTATGTCGAGCAGCCAAAAGCCAATTTTCCTTTTCAGGGAACATCACATACCCTTGAAGCAGTGGAGGATCTGCCGCCACCGAGCCGAAAGTGGTCATCTCCTATGATCGCCAATTCATTCTTTTACCGTAACCTATAACCCATATCTTGCCTATGACTGCTTTGATTAATACAAAAACAGAATGTTGGTAATCGTTCAAACCTATTCTTCTCATCTCCTTAGCTTCACTCGTCTCTTAAGAGGCTTTGTCACATCCATCAAAATCCTCATGCGCATAAATACCTTCAACTCTCCTTTAAAATTATTATCATTAGCCATGACAAAACTACTGATATGGTTGTCGTCGATTATATCTGCTATTTTTGTCCTCATCAAAGCCAACGACATATTGGGTGCGTTTGTATATCAGCGGATCCGCCAAAATTCAGAGGGTTTGACTGTGTTGGCGTTTTGGATGGGTCAAACCGCTGGAATTTCGCGTTTGGTAAACAGAGGGTAAGGATAGCGATTCCTATGAAACCGCCGAAAACCAAAACGCCAGAAATCGGAGCGTTTAGGTTTTGGCGGTTTGGAATAATTACTAAATTCACTAGTTTGCCATCCCATCTTTTTGGTTTCGCCGCTTGAAGCATATGTTCGGACTGCGCTTTGTTCACAGAGTTATTTCTTCCACTGATTCCTTCTTACTGATACGTCCGGACTTCATTTGCCCTCCCATCGTTCAGTGCTTTCTCCTCTTCAAAGGTATGTATTAATCATCTTCTATAGAACACTCCGTTGGGATCTTGTTTTGATTTCTATGGGTATTGCTATTTGTAAATTCATAGATATGTAACTCTTGGTAGTCTGCCACGTTTGTGTTGCCCTGCATTTTTGTAGGATTGTGATCATCATATAAATTGCTTTGTGTTTATAGTCTCATATATGGAAAATTTTTAAAATGTCCTTTTTTGTCTTTTTACATATTATCTGCTACAACCAAACAGCTAAGTTACAAAACATCTCTCTGCAACCCGCCAAGCAAATCCGCTGGTCAAATCCGCTGATTCAATCCGCCATTCACTACCCGCTAACCAAATCCGCTAACCGCTAACCGCTGAGTGCCAAACAGGGTCATTGTATCCAAAACTCGACATGCATTGAGGGACCCTCGAACGGACCAGACCACTGCACAATTAGAACTTTCCGACCGAATGCCAAAGGACCATCACTTAACACCCTTGTAAGATTAAACTCATGAAAAACTGCACCAGGAGCCTTTGGCCGCCTAAGTCTTCTCTGCGCCGGAGAGACTGCAACACATCTGTGAGACTGAGACACCGTCTGCATCCCTTCACTGGGTTTCCATCAGAATAGGTGTGAGAATACTCAACAAAATTTCAAAGCCGCCCACCAGTAAATTTCAAGTCTCACTCTCACGGGTTTAGAATAACAATAACAATTGAAAGCAAATCTTTTCAATTCAAAATCTTTGCTAGCAATTTGGTAAGCATTTGTGAGACAAAACATGGACTTTCTTTTGCTATTGATTTTGATTTCCAAAAATGTGGAGGTATTGGCCTAGGTGCCAAAGCAGCTCTTCTCCCTCTTTGTTCGGCCCAACCCATGTTGACCCAATCACTTCAGCCAGCCCACCAACTCCGCCCATATTTGGAATCCATCTACTAGGGCTTACTCTTGTACCTTAGTATATAACGCCTCTTATTAAGGTCTTACCTGGTTGAGACAAAAAGATGCGTTGTGTTTGACTTAGAGATAGAGGGTGAGAGAAGAGTGAGAGAGAGCCAGGGTTTTCTGATACCCTGCTCCTCGTTGTTCCTCTGTGCGACCTCTTCCTTTATTCTGCTCTCCTTGTCCGGTGTGCGTAGAGAAGGTTAAGGTTGGCTGAGTGTGTTACCTTCATTGGTGCTAAAGGTGGTGCTTTGTGTGATCGTTTGAGTGTGGTCTAAGTCGGAGAAGTGAACACCCAATAGTGGTATCAGAGCTAGATCTTCGTGTCGACACCTCTTCTGCCGCCTAGAGCTCCTCTGCCGCCGTGACGCTTCAGATCTCCACCGTGACGCTCCTGCTCCTCAGCGAGTTGGTAAGTCAAGATACCCCCCGGGATCTCGCTCAGGTAAAGCGGCGATAAACATATTGATGAGTATACACCTGTTATGTTGTTGAATGCTATTCCTGATGCTTACAATGATGTTAAGTCTGCTATTAAGTATGGTAGAGATGAGGTTTCTCTATACATTGGTGTAAATGGGTTAAAGAGTAAGGAACTTGATCTAAAACAGGCTAGGACTAGTAAACAGTTGTCTCACTCTGGCGAAGCTTTATTTGTTAGGGGTAGGTCTAAGAGGAGGTCTAGACACCCGAAGCATAATAATCAAGGTAAGGCCAATAACCAACCAGGTAAGAAAAGGAATAAGTCTAGGAAGCGTGTTTGCTACAATTGTGGCAACCTTAGCCATTTTATCAAAGGCTGTCCAAACCCTAAGAAATCTGACCAAGCCAATGTTGTTGTTGAGCATGATAATCATGGTGATGTTCTTATGGTATGTGATCATGCAAACTCTGTGTTTAATGATTTAACTGAACATGAATGGTTGATTGATTCTGGCTGTTCTTCTGGCTGGATCTTCGTGTCGACACCTCTTCTGCCGCCTAGAGCTCCTCCGCCGCCGTTATGACAAGAATGTGAAAAGATCAAGGTGAAAACAGATGAGGAAGTCAGATAGTTACTATTGAGATTTCAAGATGCGATCTTCCACCATTCCATCCATATCTTTTGATTGGATGATCAACTTCCACTTTTTCAAGTTGAGGTGGATAAAGGGCTTCATTAGCTACAATTCTGCTGAAGAAAGCATAGCCAGATTTGGATGGGAGGTGCGCATGCCGTGCACGAAAAGCAAATTTTTGTTGAAGCCACGATGCCGTGCACAGCAGTTTTTACGCGGAACGTCTGTCGGACGCTTGGATGCACGCACGTCGTGCGTGGGCGACGTGGGCCCGACCAAAACCCCCTTTCCGCCAAATTGGTACTTTTTCTATTTGAATTGCATGAAAACTCCAGTTTTAGGTTACCGAGCTTAGAGAGTGCCTATGATGAATTTTTCAATGGTTTCATCCTTGAATTATCAAAATTCTGAGATTATTTGTAAGTTCTATCTTTTTAATTAATGACAATTATTTCTTTCCTTCTTAATTCTGTTGATCTTTCAATTATGAATTGTGAATAGTTTTAATTATGGATTTGAGATTGATGAAAGGGGTATTAATCATGATATAAGGTTCGTTCTTGAGGGTTTAATTGCATGATTATCGTTTAGATTGTGCTTGAATAATTTAATCGATATCTTTTGTAACCTGGAACTGTATATAGGATTATAATTGCACATATAATAATTTAAGAGATATCCAAATTTATTCTAGGACACTTTCAGAGTTTCAGACACACTTAATCGTTCGCTAAGAGATTAGTAACGACTAGGGAGTCGTACTTTCGCTCATTTTGGCGATAATTTAGAAACTTGTCGCATGAAAGGTAAACCTAGTTCTCTCAATAATTGTACTCTACGCCGAGAGAGCGGCAAAAACATAATATTGACCTGAGTCGCTCAATTAAATAATTTTATGCATATTAAGCCTGATCGGTCCCAAATTCCGGTTGCCCCCGAATTAATCCATGTTTCCCTTCTGTCATTAGTTAGAAAGAGCCCTCTAGTTTAGCTTTTTATTCTCCTATTTAATTCCCAAAAAAATCCAATCTCGCACAATCATTTTTAATTTATTTTAAGTGCGAGAAAGCTCACAACAGAAAGTTGCAAGTTTCAAGAATTTAGATACGCTACAAGTATTTAGTCTTTGATGTATTTGACTAATATCTCTTTGGTTTATGTTACTAACTTTGCTATTAAAGGGCGACGTTAAGATGTAATAGCCAAAGTTACTTAATAAGTGTATACCCTGTGCACACATCCTATAAATAAATACACCAGGCTGTAAAATACCCAGTTCAACATTCTCCAAATGTTGTTTAGTTTGTTAATTAGTTTTTGTTCCCTAACAAATTTCCCTAACCACTTTCATTTGCAATACATAGACTATCTTTGAGTTTCTAAGTTAGCGTCAAAGCCCTTGCGTTTTCTTCTAATTTAATCTCATTTACTACCCATTTATCAATCAACATTCAGGAGAGCATCTCCAATGCCATAATGTGCACGGTGCACACGTACATGAGAGATAACCACCTAAATATTAGTAAATAAATTATCTCTCTCCTTAATTGAATGGTTCTAAACAATTTTGGTAAGTTTTTCTCCACAATGTCAAGAAAATCATCGAGATGTGGATACTGTGGTTAACATTGTTAAGAAAAACTTACCAAAATTGTATAAAACCATTCAAATAAGAAGATGTTCTAACTACCGGTTGTCTATTAATTTATTTATTAATATTTATGTGACTATCTCTCATGTCACATGTGCACTGTGCACATTGTAGCATTGAAGATGTTCTAACTACCCGTTGTCTCTTTCTTTTTCATTCCTCACTTTAAGTACATTACTATCTACAAATGCTATATACGTGACACAATGCATTCATTTACAATACTCAATACCTTTGCAATTTAATCGATGTAAAAACCGTTTTTTGTACTAGTGCTGCCAAATATGTTGTGGTTTTTTGAACTTAATTTTAGGTGCTACATTTTTATTAATAATATTTATACAAGTAACTAGTATTACAGTACATGTGATTACTATCTATTTAATGCTCATTAGTTACTCAAAGTACATTACTATTTACAAATGTTATATACCACACCCATTGAATTCGTGTACAATACATTCTACCTTTCAAAGCGTGTTTGATGACCTTGTTTTTCTGCTTATCGAGCTTATAAGCCAACGTTTTCATCAAACACATGATTTTTGATATCGTGCAATGAATTGTGTAATAATAAGTCAAAGTAAGGTTGAAGTTGCTTTTCTGGCTATATTGGTTGAAGTCACCGTAGATGATCATTTTAACTATTTTTCATATAATTTTTTCTTTATTAAATTAATAAAATATATTTTGAATATAATTTATTTCATAAATAAGCAGAATTAGCCAATCTAGTCATTTCAGCCAGAACTTCATAAATTTCAGCAGAACCAGCCAATGCAACCGATTTGGTTATTATCAAATGGGCTCTCAATCTCTAAGTTATTGCCACATCCCGTAGTTTTCTTTTAATTGTATCTCTGTAACTCCCTTATTATTAATTAGTACTCCCTCAGTCCCAAATTGTAAGATACATTTACTATTCACTTGGTCAACATAAATCACACTTAATATTTTATTTTATATATAAAAAGTTTATGAAATTTGAATTATTTTTTGTAGACTTTGTAGCGGTTTTAATGTAGTTTCTGAATATGTAAATTTTATTTTCTAGAACTAATTTGAGTGTTGACAGGGATCGATTTGCTTTATCGTCAGTCAAACATCGTAAACCGTAATGTATCTTACAAATTGGGACGGAGGGAGTATATATCATTCAAGTAACTAATATTATAGTTCATGTGACTAATGCTGCTCACAATCGGATATGCCATAACTGTTTGGATGTTATTTTGTATTTTTCTCGATTTTAATATAAAAGCCGATCATTTATATTAAAAATAAACAAAAATTCTGTTTGTACCCACTGATGGAGTGTATGGGTCAAGGCCCCATGACCCACATACTTCCAGCTACACGTAAGACCCCAGGGACGTACGACGTCAAGCACAAGGAACACACCGGAGACGTACGACGTCAAGCACAAGGAACACCCCGGGGACGTATGGCGTCAAGCACAAGGAACACCCCGGGGACATACGGCCTCAAGCACAAGGAACACCCCGGGGACGTACGGCCTCAAGCACAAGGAACACCCCGGGGACGTACAGCCTCCAGCACTCCGTCAGCCAGACATACGTCTCCAAGGACTTCGTCTGCCACATCCAGACGTGCG